AACATGCTGATTCTAAAACCACTGTTTTGATTTTATAGAGTAGGCACATTTCAAAAAATAATTAATAGGCTATTCCTAAAAAGTAATTATTCATGTGACTGTGCTATATTTTGGTACACAAAATAATGTTTAAAACCATAGACATACTAGATAAACTTTTTGTGAGGAAGATTATGGATTGAAATTTATAAAATTTTTAAAAAAATCATAAAATCCAGAAGAATGCTCAGTGCTTTATTTTTGCCAAAATTCCACAGACTTTTTGTTGACTTACTTTGTGCTGCTGCTAGTGAAAGAACAGCAGCAATTACCTAGTAGGTAGCTAAGTGTTTTATATATATATATATATGTGTGTGTGTATATATATATAAAGCTTATTATCCACTCTAGAATTTCCTCCTTTTGTTGTTGTTCATTATCTTAAATTTACTTGCTTACTGACATGTTTGCAGTTGCTAAAGTACTTTTTGCCAAGCTGTACTGTTTGAAAGTCATTCTGCATAGAAAATTCAGTCTTGTGTTAAACAAAAGGAAAGTAATAAATTTAATGATACAATTTAATTAATCTTTTATTATTACCATCTTTGAAGCTTTGGTGATAAATTGCAGCCTCAGCCAAAAGCACTTCTTGTGATTCATTGCTTGAGACCCGCACTTAATGTATCATCAAAAGTGGACACCTTTCTTTATTTCATGGGTTATTTAACTTGAGAAAGGGAAAGTAACACAAACCTTAAATTTCTTACTCCAGCTATTCTTTTTTAGGAGCCAAAGTCAACATTTATGTTTCCCCAGTGCCTCTCACTTTCACCAAGGAATGTTTAGAATCTTAAATTTCTACTTTTTTATGAGAAGTTCTTGTGTGCAAATGCACTGGTTTTGTTGAGCTAATGCTGTTTTCCTGGATCTTTCCTTCTTTTCCTGTCTGTGCTTCACTCCCTTCCAACTTTGCAATGTAGCAAGCTGAACAGTTGTTCAATCAGATGTACAATCCAGTAAGTTCTTTTTTCAAATGCCCGCTGTAACATATGAAAGCATGAGGATCCGTTACCTTACTGTGTTGTGCTCTTCCTCTGTGGAGCTTTGCAGAACACTTCTGATGCTCACTATGCTATATTCATTATATCCAAACAAATGAACTTTGTGGACTTCAAGGCCATTTTAAGAACATGAAATGTAATAAATAGGTACATACAGTATTTCTGAAAAAATAAACATCCTAGCCTTTAGGTCCTCAACTTCTCCATTAGAAAAAGCATGCAGATTTTTTTTTTTGCTTTGCTTTTTAATTCCACCTTCTGCAATACTTTATTTGATCCTTCAAACTTAAACTGCATAAATTAGAACTTATTTATCTAAAGTGACTGAATTAATTATGTAAATAATAATATCTAGAAGTGACTGGTACTATTTTCAGAAGTCCGTATGATTAAAATAGTTCAGGTGGGTTTTACTCATAAAAGACTGTATATATTCAGCACATGTCCATTAAGAATATGGAAGCATTGTATTTAATCGAAGAAAATGCTGAAATACGAAATGATGAAACACAAAATGATGAACGCAAAGGGCAGAATTTGAAAAAGCCAAACAGTATTACTTTGGCTTGTTTAGCATTATTATTCATAGATTCATAGATTTCTAGGTTGGAAAAGACCTTAGAGATCATCGAGTCCAACCATCCCTAATCCCCGTTAACCCATATTCTCAAGTAGATCATCCACCCTATT